GGCTACATAACGAGGTCCAGGACAGCTAAGATTACATAGAGACCTTGTCTCAAATATATGTATTTGCTATATACTCTCTCTCTCTCTCTCTCTCTCTCTCTCTCTCTCTCTCTCTATATATATATATATATATATATATATATATATATATATATATATATATATGCTAAGTAATTTACTTGATGAATCTTGGTGAATGTAATTAATATTTAAATAAGTTATCATTACTCTCACAGGTACCTAGAAATTACTTTTGCTGTAAAATATTGACTCGTCATTTGGGTTCCCAAGGCAATAAAAACCCAGCATCTCTACCTTCATTTGTATCTGTCTCCCTTACTCTCTGGATATATCATCACATGTATCACAACTCAGCATTGGCTATGCTCATTATTAAAGAAGTGTCTGTTTAAAAACCAAGGCTAGCTGACCTATTTCCAACAGTTCAGAGAGAAGAGAAACTGAGGCATCTTATCACAGCTTTCATGATGTCCTATTCTGGATCCCGAAAGGATGCCTGAATGTCTCCAGACACTGTTTTAAATCTGTAATTGTCTTGGATTCCAGGAACTGCAGCACCGATTGTCCCCTCAGCTGTGGGAACTTCTACATGCCATGTAGAAGCAGAGCAGAGCTCAGATAATAGCCAACCAGATCACAGAGATAAGGACCAAGCAGGCCACACAGATCAAGCCTGCTGAGTTATGCCTCCTTAACACTTCCTCTGTAAAAACCTGAAGCTCACATCAGTACCCCGATGATGGACTTGTGGTCACTGAACCCCATTATCTATACCTCCCAACACAGCCACGTTGCTTACCCCTTCCCTGCCTGTCACCACTACATGCCTCTGTAATTGGTGTGGTGTGGCAGACAGATGAGCCTAGTCAATTGGGATTCTCAGAGCTCTTGCCCTAAAACTCCAGTTGTGACATCACCATAGTGGTTTTGATTGCATTCCTCTAGCAACTAATAATGCTGCACATGTCTTTTTCATGCTTATGCTCATCTCTAAGGTAGCTTTTCTTCGTATGTGTAGAAATCCATTGAGTTCTGCCTCCTCACTGTGAGGGTGAAAACTCACATTCCCATTGTCTTGTAGCTAGAACATTCTCTTGTAGGCATGTTTCCCAGACTCTGCCAATCGACAGATGAATGTGGTTGTCTCCAGAAGAAGCTGTTTAGTGTCCCAGTGGTGGTAATGTCAAATCTTGGCTCACAATTGGCATCAAAACATCACTAGGAGTATTTGTCCCAGTGTTCAGGGATGTAACAGCAGCTTCTTTCTTTTTCCTTCATTCTTCCTATTTTTTTTTCCTGAGATAGGATTTCTCTGTGTAGCCCTGGCTGTCCTGGAACTTGCTCTGTAGACTAGGCTGGCCTCAAACTCAGAGATCCATCTGCCTCTGCCTCCTGAGTTCTGGGATTAAAGGCATGTGCCACCATGTCCAGATAACAGCAGTTTCTTTCTTTCTTTTTTTTTAATTTTTTTTTATTTAACTTTATTTGATGTGCATTGGTGTCAGATCCCTTGGAACTGGAGTTACAGACAGATGTGAGCTGCCATGTGGATGCTGGGAATTGAATCCAGGTCCTCTGGAAGAGCAGCCAGTGCTCTTAACCACAGAGCCATCTCTCCAGCCCCCAACAGCAGTTTCTTTCTTTCTTTCTTTCTTTCTTTCTTTCTTTCTTTCTTTCTTTCTTTCTTTCTTTCTTTCTTTCTTTCTTCCTTCCTTCCTTCCTTCCTTCCTTCCTTCCTTCCTTCCTTCCTTCCTTTCTTTCTTTCTTTCTTTCCTGGCTGTTCTGGAACTCACTTTGTAGATCAGGCTGGCCTTGAACTCACAGAGATCCACCTGCCTCTGCCTCCCAAGTGCTGAAATTAAAGGCGTGTACCACCATGCCCAGCTTCAATAGTGGTTTTTTTTTTGGGGGGGGGGGGGCTGAGGACCGAACCCAGGGCCTTGTGCTTGCTAGGCAAGCGCTCTACCACTGAGCTAAATCCCCAACCCCTTAACTGTGGTTTTTTAATGAAAATAGTATAAAGCCTTACAGAACCAGTCTCAAGCCAAATTATACAGAACTATGTGAAATTATTATTATTATTATTATTATTATTATTATTATTACTATTATTATCAGGGGCTCCATCTGTCTCCCAAGGGCTGGAATCAAAGGCTTGCATCATCATGCCTAGCAGCTATTCTTTGTGCCACTCAATATCTACTTAATAAGATCTTTTTGTGCTATATCATTATTTTGAAAGAAGGGACAGATTTATGCTGTCTAGCTCAAAACTGAAATTCTAGAATATATGTCAAGTATTTTAGAAAAATACTTAACGGGAATCTATCAAAAATGATAATAAAGTACAGTGAGCAGCTAGCTAACCAATTCAAATTTAATGATAACATTATGAAATCTGTCAATAATACCGCTTTTCTCTCTGAACACCATTCTAACTTAAAAACACTGAACTGACAACTTATGCCAATTCATGCTTCAACACTGGTTAATATTTTTTCAACAGTTACAGAAATGACCTTGTCACTTCAAACACAATAACTGATAATGTGTGTTGCCAATGATAAGTGTGAGCTTTCAAAAAATATATTTTGAAAACCTTTTGTTAGCTACATGGTGAGTCTGACATCTTACCAATCAATACTTACTAGGTGGCAGTGTTAATGAATGGGATTTAAAAAACGTATTGAGCCGGGCGGTGATGGCGCACTCCTTGAAACCCAGCATTTGGGAGGTAGAGACAGGAGGATCTCTGTGAGTTCGAGGCCAGCCTGGTCTACAGAGCGAGATCCAGGACAGGCTCCAAAGCTGCAGAGAGAAACCCTGTCTCGCAAAACCAAAAAAAAATAAGTATTGAATGAAATGTGGCCATGTATGGAAGGCCTGCATAAATGAATGAACCAATATTTTCCAGAAGACCTGTACAAGGTGTCAGTAGAGATGGTTCAGCAGGGAAGAGAACTAGTTGCTTACTAGGAGGACTTGGGTTCCATTCCCGGCACCCACGTGGTGGCTCGTAACTATAACCAGTCCCAGGGGACCCAACACCCTCTTCTGGTCTTCTGGGACCGGCACACACACGGTGCATAAATATGCATTAAGGAAAAACTCCTATGCACACAAAAATAATAAAAGACCAATACAAACTTAAGAATGTTAAAATCATGTACATCCTCTAAATTGTAAAAGAGCCGTTCATGTGCAAAATGAACCAATTCGTTTTAGCCCAAGAAGGCCTGAAAGCTTGCTGATAGGGCTTTCTAATTGATTTAGTAATTCACTTTAAGAAACTATCACTCTCAAATGAAAAGGTTCTAAAACTGAATTTTCCCTCTTGATAAGGTTTTTTGTTTTTTAAAGTTTCATTATTTTTAATTATTTGTATGTGTGTAAGTCTGAGGTATTGGGATCCTTCTGGAGCTGGAGTGAGTGGTTGTGAGCTGCCTGGCATGGGTGCTGGGAATTTACCTCTGGTCCTCCGCAAGAGCAGCAAGGCTTTTCATTACTGAGCCATCTCTCCAGTTTGTTTTTGTTTTTGTTTTTGTTTTTGTTTGAGACAGGGTTTCTCTGTGTAGCCCTGGCTGTCCTGGAACTCCCTCTGTAGACCAGGCTGGCCTGGAACTCTGAGATTTACTTTCCTCTGCCTCGCAAGGGCTGGGATTAAAGATGTGTGTCATCACCGGCTGCCTCAGTTTGTATTTTGTGACAGGGTCTTTACTGTGTATATCAGGCTGGGCTCAAAATGGCACTGATAAGCGTTCTAAAACTATCTTTAAACTACCTTGTTATAAAACAGTATGAGTTAAATGTTAGTTTCTTTTTTAATGATTTACTTATTTTTATTTTATGTTGCATTGGCGTTTTGCCTGCATGGAGGTCTGTGTGAGAGTGTCAGAAGCCATGGAACTGAAGTTACAGACAGTTGTGAGTCACCATGTGGGTGCTGGGACCTGAACCTTGATCCTTTGGAAGAACAGCATTTACTCAAGCCCCAGATTATAATTTCGTATACTAACGCAATTTAAAATTGCTAAAAGCCTCATTATTGCACAGACTTGATGGTAGGACAAGATATAGTGATTGCCTTCAGGAAAGTGAGAGGGACAGACGACACTTTTCTCCTTTTTAAATTAAAAACAGCTTTAAATGTAAGGTCTTATTTATTTTGTGTGTCCTTTCATGTATGTGTACGTGTGTGTACTCGTGCCACGGCTCTCGGGTGGAGGTAGAGGACAGTTTGTTGGGAGTCAGTCCTTTACTTCCACTATATGGATCCCAAACTTTGAAGAGGCTTGGTTGAACTATCTATCTAGCCAGACCCACTTTTCCCTCTTTTACTTTCTTAGGTATATTGCCTAAAAGAAACAGAACCAAACCCCTGTAAGACCCGGTGCTGTAGGTTCTCCAGATGTCTTGAGGGCAACATCTACAGCCCATTGCCCCTTTGAAATACGAGTCTTCCATCATCTATCACACCACTTTAAAAATAAGGTAAAGAAGGATCGTTTTCAATATTTCCCACCCAACAGAACAACCCTTGCCTCACCACAAGCTTCGGAGCTCCCATGTTTTTGCACTTCCTCACTACCTCACTGCAACAGAGCATCACTTTCATTCCCTCCCACCCTAGGGTCCGCACCCCCACCTCTCAGGGAGGACCTCCACAGTGACCTCCTGAGCTTCTGCGAGATTCTGGAGCTCTGCTGGGTGGGGAAAGGATGCGCTGGGGCGCGATCCATCCCTTTGACCAGCTGGGAGGAGTATCGAAACATCATCTGCAATCCGCCCTCCCCAGCCACCGCCACGAGCGACTAGCCAGGTAAAGAGACAAACGCCAGGGCACAGGCCAACACGACAGGGAGGGAGCGCCAAGTCCCCCGCCCCAAGGTGACCCCTTCACACCCGCACGTTTAATTACCTCCCTCGGGGTATTGCTCCACACCTGGCTCCGCCCCCCGAGCGACAAGCCACGCTCTCACCTTTTCTTTTTCCCACGTCGGGGCTCCACAAGCCCGCTCCTCTTTCTGCGCGCCTAAGCTCCGCCCCCAGCCTGTAGTTCCATCCTCTGGGCTCCGCCTTCTACACCTCTAAGCCCCGCCCTCAGTCTGTAGTTCCATACCCGGGCTCCGCCTTCTGCGCTCCTAAGCCCCTCCCTCAGCCTGTAGTTCCATCCTCTGGGCTCCGCCTTCTACGCCTCTAAGCCCCGCCCTCAGTCTGTAGTTCCATACCCGGGCTCCGCCTTCTGCGCTCCTAAGCCCCTCCCTCAGCCTATTGCTCCACATCCAGGCTCCGCTTCCCCGGTGCTCGAGCTCCTCCTCTCGCGCTCACCGGTCACAGTCGCACGCGACCGGCGGGGTACTTCACTGGCGGGATACCTCGCAGGGTAGAGGCGGGAAGCCGGTGGCTTCGGGCAACGGTGATAACGGTGATAAGAGTCGCATTTCGGAGCATCCACACGTAACGCGACTCCTCAGACCCGGAGCCGGGTTCCACGGGTGGGGAGCCCAAGGCGGCCTTGGAGAGGCTGTAGCCGCAAGCGGACCGGCGGCGGAGTCTCCCTCAGCTTCAGGAAGGGACTCCGAGACGCCCGGGGCGGAACCCCTTTCCCAGACTTGAGAGCCGCCCCTCCCCCCTCCGGGGACCGTTACCCGTTGCCGCCTGAAGGAGCGGTTGTGTGATTGTCGCTAGAGTGGCCCTGGGCATCGTTTGTCTAGGGCACGCTGGCTTTTGGCTTTGAAGGTAGTGCTCTGGGCCATTGGGTTGTCCGTGGGGCACGTGGTACATCACTTTTCTACAGTGATTGTGCCAGGGGCATGGGCGGGAACTAATTCCCACAGGCAGTGCCAGCAACGTGCCAAAAGCACCAAGCTCTAAGGCGAAGCCACCGGGCTGCAGCTGCCTTATTTCAGGCGACCCAGTTTTGTGCTAAACCGCAGTAGGCTTCCTTTTGTCCGGGCCGTGCAAAGATAGTAACAGCAGCCATTCGTTCAAGGATGTAGATTAAAGTAGCTCCCAAATACTAAGGGTGGTGTGAATTATATTTAGTTCCCGCCTCCAAGGGTTCATTAAGATAGCTTAAAATGCCTTGGAGCTGACAAGAGTTAAGCAAGACTTATTTCACTCAGATTTTCCTCCCACTGTTAGCTTTCTGCTCCCTTATAATCCCGTTCACAGTTTACTCTCTGTACTGTTTTTCGTTCATTTACTAATTTCGTTTTCATCCTGCCCAGGTTCTCTACCCACTTCCTTCCCAGCATTGCAGTTGGGTCCTTGTAGCTCCGGTATCTGCTGTAGACTCCACTCTCTTCAGTACCCAAGACTACTAATCCTTAAAGGATGTGCTGCCAAACAAGGTGACTGGATGCCTGCCAGACAAGCATATTAAAAGAGATCATTTCTTGGGTATCCAGGTAACTTAGCCAGGAAAACTCTTTATTTTTCAAGACATTTCTCACCTGAGCCTTAAAGTCTAGTGGAATTGTAACTTATAAATATATCACAAAGCATTTTTTTTTCTGGGGAAAAAAGCTTTATTGCATATGGAAATCAATAGCCTGGAGGTAATTAAATTTTTAAAATAATTTTATGCTAAAAGGTTCATATGTGTGAACGTTTTTATTTATTGCATCATTAGTGGTGCTCAAGAAGTTTTGGAGCATTTCATATTTTCAAGATTAGGGACATTTAACCTTGTTGGTTTTCTAATTTTTGTTTTCTCTTGAGGTTTTCAGTTGGTTTCCTTTCTCCTATTTCCAGGTCTGGGAGGAGGAGGTATCTCCATGTATTGCCAAACCCCAAGGCACAAGTAATTCTTCTGCCTCAAGTATCCCAGATGCTGGAATTACAGGATTGTGGCATCATACCATCTACCTATATTTTGATAAAACTTTGAATTTGGAGTTTTTTGACACTGACATGGGATAAGAATTTGGGGGCTGTCAAAATAATGTATATGTGAGGACATTAATTTAGAAGTCTGGAGGGCAGAGTGTTATGGATTGAATTAGGTTCCTTTCAGACTCATGTTAGCCTGGTATGGTGGCATATATCTGTAATCCCAGCAGTTGGGAGGTAGAGGCAGGAAAATCATAAATTCAAGGCCATTCCTGGATATATGCGCGCGCGCGCGCGCACACACACAGAGTTTGAGACCAGGCTGGGCTACATGAAACCTTGTTCAAAAAACAAACAAATAGGCTGGAGAGATGGCTTTGTAGTTGGGAGCACTGACTGCTCTTCCTGAGGACCCAGGTTCAATTCCTAGAACCCACATGGTGGCTCACATTGGATTCTAACTCCAGTTCTAGGGGACTCGACACCCTCATACAGACATACATATAGGCAAAACACCAATGCACATAAAATTAAAATTAAAAAATATTTAAACAAACAAATAAATAACACAACAAAAAACAAAAAAAATTACTCCCCAATGAGGTCAGATCCAATCTGTGGTACTTTGATCTGGTTGCCCTCACAGACTAATAGAGACATTGTCAAGAAGTAAAATGGCCCAGGTGCAGTGGTGTGTGCCTGTAACCCCAGAACTCAGGAGGCCAAGGCAAGAAGATGTCAAATTGGGAAATAGCCTAGATTATGTAATGAGTCTATCTGAAAAAAAAAAAAACAAATGGCAAGATAATAGAGGGGGCTGGAGAGATGGTTCACTGGTTAAGAGCTCTTGCTCTGCCAGGCATGGTGGTACACCCTTTAATCCCAGCACTCAGGAGGTAGAGGCAGGCAGATCTCTGTGAGTTCAAGGCCAGCCTGGTCTACAGAGCGAGTTCCAGGACAGCCAGGGCTACATAGAGAAACCCTACCTCAATCCCTCCTCCAACCCCTCATCCCCCCCAAAAAAAACCTCTTGCTGCTTTTGCAGAAGACTCAGGAATCTAATGCCCTTTTCTGACCTCTGTGGGCACAACCACACCTGTAGTATGCATACATACATGTAGGCAAAACACTCAAGCACATCAAATCTAAAAAGAAAACAATGCAGGTTGGGAAAATAATTTGCAAACTATGTCTCTTATGGTCTACCTTGAATATATGAATAACTCAAAACTCAACAGAAAAGACACCACCATTGAAAATAAGGAAAGATGCCAGCTACTGGGGAGGTTGAGGCAGCAAGGTCACAAGTTCAAGGCCTACCTACCTGAGCAACTGAGACCCTGTCTCAAAATTTAAAAAGGAAGCCGGGCGGTGGTGGTGCACGCCTTTAATCCCAGCACTCGGGAGGCAGAGCCAGGCGGATCTCTGTGAGTTCGAGGCCAGCCTGGGCTACCAAGTGAGTTCCAGGAGAGGCGCAAAGCTACACAGAGAAACCCTGTCTCGAAAAACCAAAAAAAAAAAAGCATATTAAAATTTAAAAAGGAAAGTGAGGACTGAGGATATAGCTCAGTTGTAGAGCACTTATAGAGAGACAGACAGAGAGAGAGGAAGGGGTGAAGGGAAGGAGTTGAAGAGACATTTCTTTAATGATATGCTAATAGCAGTAAGAACATGGAAAGGTGATCACATAGTCATTAAGAAAATACAAATCAAAATTTTACTAAGATACCACATCAAACTTATGAGGATGACCGAAGGAGAAAGTTTTGGTAAGGGTGAGATTGGGTCCCTCACACACTGCTGTTGGAAATGCAAAATGATTTTACAAGTGGTTTTACAAAACCCCTTTGTATGAGCCAGGCAGTGGTGGCTCACTCCTTTAGTCCCAGCACTTGGGAGGCAGAGGCAGGTAGATCTCTGTGAAGTTCGAGGCCAGCCTGGTCTACAGAGGTAGTTCTAGGGCAGCCAGGGCTACATAGAGAAAACCTGTCTGGAAAAAACAAAATACAAACAAACAAAAAACCAAATTGGTATGGGCTAGAGAGATGGCTCAGTGTTTAAGAGTAATCACTGCTCTTCCGAGTGTCCTGAGTTCAGTTCCCATCACCTACATGGCAGCTCACAACAGTCTGATGCCGTCTTCTGGTGTATAGATGTACAACATACATACAGACAAAGCATCCATATACACAAAATACATAAATAAATCTTTAAAAAACAAATTGGTACATGAGTCTTATAATAGCATTATTCATTCCTGATAAACAAATTCAGAGCAAGAAATTAAAAAACCTAGTGTTCAGCTCTTAAGAATTGCCCTTATGAATTCAGTGGTGTATAAACAGCTTTTTTGTTTGCCTGCTTGCTTGTTTCTTCTCACTAATTAGAAATTGGAAGCTGGCAGGAATGGGGACGTGGCTACCTTGGCTGTATTCCAGATACAAGACAAATTTAAATCAGTTCTATATAGCTCCCATTCAAAGACTCAGAATAAAACAGCAATTATCACCAGGTTTTGGTTTCTTCGCAGTAGAAAACCTAGCACACAGGAGACCAAGTCACAAAAACTCAGGTGGTCTCTCCACTCTGCCAGGAACCAAACCCAAGGACCCTATGCTTGCTAGACAAGCAGTCTGCCACTGAGCTGATTTCCCAACCCCCAGAAACTCATGGCAGGCCTCTGAGTAAGCATGTTCTATGTCCTACATATTCATATTTCATTAACTAAAGGAAGTTGTGTGATCAAGTAAATTATGTGGAGATCCCATGGAGTAGAGAGAAAAGTGCAAAGGAAAGGAGAAAGGCATGTTCCATACCTTTCAAAAAACTTCCTAAAATTTATACCTCTAATGCATATGTGTTATGGTAAAATCTTAGTATGTGGGCCAGCAAGGTGGCTTAGCCCATAAAGGTCCTTGTCACCAAGCCTAATGATCTGAATTTGAACCCCAGAACCCACAGATGGAATCAGAGAATGGATTTCTTCAAGTTCTTTTCTGACCTCCACATATAAACTTTGGTGCATATGTACACACACACACACACACACACATACACACACACACACACACAAATATAATTTTAAAGCTTTAATATGTGGTCATTATTGCCTGAAGACAGATTGGAAATACAGCCTTTATTCTAGACAGTCACTTATTCAGCTAAAATGAAAAAAGTCTGTGTGGCAGCATACTACTGTATGAGGCACAAGGATCATGACTTTGAATCCAGCCTGCTCTGTAGTGAGACCCAGTCCCCAAACGAATTAAAAAAAATCCATTACTGAAATTTAATTTTGATTTTTCAGTGGGAAAGAAAGTACCAACTTCTACCAAACTCTCTTAAAATTTACTAAATTGTAAACCTTACTAGATACATTTATTCAGATGCCTCTAAAACAAGTGAAATAGAAGACTCAACTGAAGGAAGGCTCTAAATCAGTATAGAGGTAGAAGAAAATGAAAATGGATATGCAAGAAGTGGATTATTTGCTGGGCGGTGGAGGTGCGCGCCTTTAATCCCAGCACTCGGGAGGCAGAGGCAGATGGATCTTTGAGTTCAAGGCTAGCCTGGTCTACAGAGCGAGATACAGGAAAGACACAAAGCTACAGAGAAACTCTGTCTTGAAAAACAAAAAAAACAAACAAACAAAAAAGAAGTGGATGATTTAAACAAAAGTCATTTCCAATTTTATATCATTAGAACCCCAGAAGGAAAGTCAAGAGAATGGAGGTGGGTTTATTTTCTCTCTCTCTCTCTCTCTCTCTCATTTTTCTAGACAGGGGTCCTCTGTATAACAGCCCTAGCTCTCCTGGAACTCACTTTGTAGACCGGGCAGGCTGGCCTCAAAGTCATAGAGATAAAGGCATGTGCCACCACACTCAACAAGTTCCTTCTCTAAACTATTGAAAATCAGAATTATATGTCAGAAATCTCTAAGAAGACTAAGCAACATACATGGAAAAAAAAAGTCCAACTGGATACATTGGAATCAGACTGGGAACATAAAAGGCTAAAGAGTGGGACTTACAATCAGTTGCACTGGGTTACTAGGGCTCCCATACCCAAATGCCGCCGACTAGAAGTTTATTGTCTCAAGTCCTGGGCCTGAGGGATGTAGTCAGTGGTAGAGCATAAATATATTTAGTGTTCATGAAGCCCTGAGTTCAATAGCCAGCATCTGCTACCCCAGAAAGTTCTTAGGATGTTTACAGGAATATTCTAAACCTGTATTGGGTTTATAATAGGAATTTCTAAAACCTATATTGGGGCTTCTTTGCCTCTAACTGGTTCTGATTAGATGGAAATCCTTGGTCTTTGGCTTGCATTTGTAACCCCCAAGTATCTCCTTGCCTCATCGCTCTTCTCTCTGTCTGTCTGTCTCTGTATGTTGGTTTGTTTGTTTTGAGACAGGGTCATATTATGTTTCTTAGACTGGCCTTCATTAAGCTCCTGAGATCAACTAATCCTCCTGCTTCAGTGTTTGAAGGAGCTGGGATTACAGGTGTCTAGCTTTTTCTTTTTTTATGGAACACCTGTCATGGCCTGGAGATATGGCTCAGTGGTAGAGTGTTTGCACAGTGTGCTCAAGGTCCCAGGTTTCATGCTCAGCATAGCAATAAAATAAACAAATGAAAGATCACATGTACCAGCTCACATATGTAATTCCAGCAATTGGGAGGCTGATCCAGAAAGATTTGCCAAGAGTTTGATTCTAGCCTGAGCTACACGGTGAATTTAGGACAGCCTGGACTATAGGGGGGATGGCCTCAAAATCTAGATTCTCCTGCTTCTGGCCTCTCAAGTGCTGTGATTACAAATGTACATATGTGGCTAGTATCGCCCATCTTAACTAATTGTGTCAGTAATAACACTACAGATGCTCCTCTATTTATGATGGGGTAAACAACTCTGTAGGCCCATTTTAAATTGAAAATAGCTTAATCTAAAAGGCAGTTAAGATGGTTGTGGTATCAATATTTGCAACCTCAGCACTTAGGAGGCAGGAGGATCCCCATGAATTCAAGGTCAGCTTTGAACTCTCTAATGAGATTCTATCTTAAACAAACAAGCAAGCAAGCAAGCAAGCAGTTAGTACACCAAGCCCCCAAACATTACGGCTTGACAATACAGTGTGCTGTAGAGTGTCTGGCATTTCCCTTTCGGATTGCATGGCTGACAGAGCTGAAACTTGCTGTCATTGCCCAACATCACAAGAAAGTGTAACAAGATAATTCCTCAAGAAGGAAGCTCTGAATGAGTTCAAATTATGTTCTGTCTGACCTGCCTTGGGGTTGCTGGATTCCTGGGTTTCATGGGGATTGTAGACTCCTGGTATTCAAGGCTACCAGGGAACTAGAGAATGAATGATAATAATAGAGAGTGGAAATGATTGTTAAAAAATTAGCCAGTATGAGCCGGGCGGTGGTGGCGCACGCCTTTAATCCCAGCACTCGGGAGGCAGAGCCAGGCGGATCTCTGTGAGTTCAAGGCCAGCCTGGTCTCCAAAGCAAGTTCCAGGAAAGGCGCAAAGCTACACAGAGAAACCCTGTCTCGAAAAACCAAAAAAAAAAAAAAAAAAAAATTAGCCAGTATTTTCTTCTATGGTTCATATTGCCTGGGTGATTTTTCTACTAGGCAGTATGAAAAAGAAAAGGCTAGAATTCTTAGTTTTCGTAAGTAGAAAAGTAATTTCTTCCAGATGACATTTAGATATTTATTAATATCTATCCATAAGATATTTAATACCCTATCCCTGAGAGTAGTGCATGCAGAGGACAAAGGGAGTTCCTATTGACTTCATCATACACCAAAATGTGCATACAAACACCTAAAAATCTTAATGGACATCGTTGGTTATAGGATAAAGTTTGCTTCACACCTGACGGACACGGCCAGTGTAAAAAAAAGAAATCTCCAGACACAGAACTCTACAAGTTAGTTACAGTGACCAAGGCAAATAGGTCCACGCCCATAAAACTGACAGTGTACCTTAGGAGGCAGGAAGAGCATCTGATATGGCAGTTTTCTGGGGACTAACAGAAAATAATTTGGAATAAGCTAGTCTTGGAGAGTAAAGTCTATATGATGGACTGGAGATCACAGTCTTCTAAGCAGCTTCTTAGAGGTGAGTAGATCTAATGAAAGAGATGCACTTCTAATTTAGTTCTCTCCCTCCCTCTGGTTGGTGAAATCTGCTACTTTAGTAATAGGTGAGGGATAAACTAGTGTGACCTGAAGGTAAGAGAAAACAAGTTTATAGCATCTAAACGAGATGGCTCAGCATTTAAGAACATTGCTCGTGTAGAGGACCCAGGCTTGATTTCCAGCCACATAGTGGCTCACAACTGTTCTGTAGCTCCAGTTTCAAAGGTTCAAATGCTCTCTTCTGGCTTCCGAGGATGCTAGGCACACAAAAGTGTACAGAGAGCACATGCAGGCACATGCAGCCAAACACTCCTTAAAAAAAGGAAAATGTCACCAGTCGAAGCAGTAGAAAAAATCTTGTCTGCTGACAAAAGAAATCATGTACAACAAGTCCAAGTCAGTATAGCTGGAGGTATCCGAATATAGCCCCATCAAAGGTCCATTTCTGGATCTATACTTGGAGGATATGGAGATACCACTTTGAGAACTAGGAGACACCAGTGAACTGGCCTCGGGCTTGAACTTAGTGAAAACCTTCGCCTGGTTTCCTTGATAACAGCTGAGCCTTTTTTTGAAGTCCTGATGTGTAACGTTCCTCTCTCTGATTTTAGTGCTCCAAAGTCCCTTCTCATTGTACAAATATTGCTACTAACATGGTACACCCATAGTCATGCCACCCAGACATTGTTTCTCCAGTATCCATACAGCAGTCTTTTTCTCTGCACTAAGAAAGCTTATGCTGTGTAGAGTCCACTTTTAAAATAGGAAAAGGTATTTCCAGAGCTTGTTCTTAGCACAGACCCCTTTGGGAAAAGCATGGCAAACATTTCCCCCCTTTCTCCTTACAGCTGTTTCCTGGAGCCTTTGCAAATCAATTCAGCATGAACGGAAAACAAGGCAACCAAAGAAGCTGCTTTAAAAATCGTGATGTCGCCGGGCGGTGGTGGCGCACGCCTTTAATCCCAGCACTCGGGAGGCAGAGCCAGGCGGATCTCTGTGAGTTCGAGGCCAGCCTGGACTACCAAGTGAGTTCCAGGAAAGGCGCAAAGCTACACAGAGAAACCCTGTCTCGAAAAACCAAAAAAAAAAAAAAAAAAAAAAAAAAAAAAATCGTGATGTCAAGCTGGGTCCAGTGGCTCTTACCTGTAATACCAGCACTTGGGAAGCTGAGGCAGGAGGACTGCTGTGAGTCTGAGACCAGCTTGGGCTACAAGTGAGACTGTTTTAAAAAACAAAAACAAGAAAGAAAAAGAATAGCGATGCTGTCATGGTGTCAGTGGCTCTTGGATCACTCTAGTTTTCTCCACGCAAATTATATCAACCAACTTAATTCCTTAGCACAATCTTGTGGCGATGTGACTAGCAAATGCCACAGAAATGGCCACTGTCTTGCATCCAGGGAGAGGTTTTACATGATTTCCTTTATGACTGTACATGCTTTTCTTCTTAATGCTTTGGCCTTGCCTACTTAAAGTGTTCAATGGCACACAGATGCATTCTCTGCACTGTCTATTCTCACTCAGTCCAGTTCCTCATTTAATGTCACGGTCTTCTCCATACACTAATGTCACAGAGTGCTGACATAGGCAGGCTTCATCTATAGAATATACTTTCTCTAGCCTGAGTGTCTTTAAAGCTTTACTAGAAAAAGCCTCCCAAATGTTAGAGGATAGAAGTTTTAGCATGAAAAGCTTGTCAAATCATCTCAATAGAGAGAATTCTTCTGTCCTAAGTATTAGCAATGATACTCCTCCTACTGCCTATCCCAGCTATGTTATGAAAGGGGTCATAATAATTATTTTCTTTATTATTATTATTAGCCCAGTTCTGTTCTTGTAGACAACAGATTTGTATTGTGCTTAAATGTCTTTGGGTAAATGTCTGTCCACATGATCACTGGCCATTGTAGGCCCTATATCTAGGCTGGCCACATCATCCAGTCACTCACAGAGCTGGGTGAGGCTCTTCTCTAAGGTAGACCGTTAGGAGGACATATCCTCTGCTTTCCTGTCCCTTCATGAAAGGTTTAGATCTTCTTTCTACCTGGCTGAATACAGAGCTGGAGGGTTTCTCTGAGTCCTGACAGGATAAGAACTGTGCCCTTGGGCAGTCTACACAGCTCCAGGTCCTTTGGCTGCCCTTAGAGAGTCGTCTGCACCTTTCTTGCTGTGAGTTAGCTTCTGGAACCCCAGAAACACTGGAAGGTGAAGGTTCTTTTAGGGAACACATTCTTCTCTTCTGGTCTGGCTGCTTTTGTTCTTTCTCTCTCTCCTATCTCTTTTGCATAGTAGCCGAGGCTATCTTTGGGCTTCTCATCCTGTTGCTACTGCTTCCTGAGTGACAGAATTACAGATGTACGCCGCCATGCCTGGTTTATGGGGATCAAACCCAGGGCTTTGTGCATGCTCAACAAGCACTCTACCACCTGAGCTATATCCCTACCTCCATTTTGCTTTCTTTATCAGGGTCAAGTTTTTCTAACGTGTCATACTACATGCTTGGGTGGAGAATTACAGAATGCATTGGCAAATGACACTGTACAGTATCTTTTTTTCCTATATATATAACTACAGATGACTGTTGGCTTGCTTTGGTTAGAGATCAAGTAGTCCAGAAAGGAGTATGGGTCTGTTGAAGTCAGTGGGATGCTCTTCTTGGTTTTTAGTCCAAGAAGTACAATCTATTGGAGAGGAAGTTTCAACTGCCCAGTGTTCAGAAATCTGAGAAAAAGTACTTTCTTAGTGCTGGCTGGTAACCCAGATGGGCAAGCGTCTGGGAAAGATGAGCTGGAAGAGCTAGGCTAGCCCGCTGGCCAAAGGGTAGTGCTGATGGTGAAAGACTACCAGTGTTTGGATTTGGGACAATGCTGTTGCCCACCTCCAATGCCTTGATTGATTGTACGAAGCTTTTGCTTCTCCATTTGAGATAATCTTTCACTCCTTGCCAAAAACAAAAACAAAAAACAAACAGATTCACAGCAAGATGTATGTTGTTTCTTTGAATCAATTTTGAAACAGGACCATTTGGTTACAGTTCTGATCATCTATGTTGGGACCTGAACAGCACTCATGGGAACTTGAACACTGAAGGGCATCTTCTCTCTGTGCATTGAGGAGTAGCTGCATCGAGGTTTGGTACATGGAATGATTCTGGGAGGACAAATGACTGTGAAGACACCACTGAAATGGCCATTGGCTTGGACTAAGTGAAAAGTGTCATTTGATTTCCTTTATCAGCAGAGAGACCTTTCTCCTTACTGCTTCATTAGTGACATTTTTCTTGCTGGTGTCAGTGCCTGGGAGTGAATTCTGATGGTAACATGTGTTCCCTCTTTTCCTGGGGGACTGGTTCTGTTTCAGATAGTCTTCATAATTTGGGAGAGCACTGCATTGCTTCTGTAAGCCTTTTCTGGTAAAATGCCCAGAGGTAGGAGAGCTTTGTATCTACACAGCTGATGCTGGACTCCAAACAGCATTGCTGCTGCTGCAACCGGCGGGACAGACAGCTGGATATGCATCTGCCAGATGAGGCCCTGGGATGTGTCTCCATTGAAACCTCTCTGTATGTTACAGAAACATTCAGTGGCTTGGACTCAGAAGGCTGTTTCATTTGAATGTCTGCATCTTTAGGATGATTGGTGTCAGGATTGCTCAGGGTTCAAAAGTCCTCCGCCTGGGCTGATTGACATTATAGTCCATGAGGGTTACAGCAGAGTCCATGCTTCCCCTACCCTGGCCATGTTTCTTTACCTAGCCAATGCATGGGTCGTCAAAACCCACATTTGCCTCATTTTCCAACCTATCATAAGGGAATCATTCATTTGGAAGCAAGACATATGTGAGGCATTCTTTCTAGGGTCACGTATGACTGAGCCCTCTCCCACAAATGAAATTATTTATTCTATAAATATCCTACAGCGACTTTTGGTTAGAAATTATACAAGCAGCAAAAACATTTTTTATGAATTCATTTTCTAGTTCTGAGTTGGAGGAAGTAGGAGCCCAAAGAATGCTTGGAGGTACATACTGCTAAGTTAGACACAGTCATCAGATGGGATGAAGAGTGTCATTCAATCTTGTGTAATGTTCTGGACAGGCATCTCAGGAAAATAAGATTGGTTTTTGGAAGATGATTTTGTATTCTTTGGATTGCAGTAATTTTCTCTTAGTCATCTGTACTCACACATCACACTGTCTTGATGAAAATACTCTTTCTAGAATAGTTTCCAGGTTCCCAGTGTAGGTAGGTGTACTTAGACTCTAGACTTTAGTTTCTCCTTTAGCTCTCTGCAGGAATTCACAGTGGCCAACAGCCTGGAGATACCTTTTGTGAGGCAACATTTTTTTTCTTTTTTAAATTCAGACAGCAGAACATATCCAGGATAGGTTTGGACAGATGTCATTCTCACAAATATCTGGTAGGGAAAGTACAAAGAGCTGTCTCAACACAGGGGAAGGCAGCGTGGGCAAGTTGTGCCGGGGAGTGCTGGGAACCCGGCAACAGGCCCCCTTCACAGCAGGTCTCTTCTTCACTGTCTTCTGACCTGCATTTCTCTTTTGCTGGGTGGATGGGATTCAGGATGAACTGGCACTGCATCTCTTGGGCAGCTCTTCCATGAGGAAGGACTCATGGGAGTTGGGAGGGGTTGCAGAATCCTTTGATTTTTTTTTTTCTTTCCAAGACAGGGTTTCTCTGTGTAGCTCTGGCTATCCTGGAACTAGCTCTGTAGACTAGGCTGGCCTTGAACTGACAGAGATCTTCCTGTCTCTGCCTTCTGAGTGCTGGGATTAAAGGCATGCCTGGCAGAGTCCTTTGATTCCTGTGGCAGGAGTGCAGTGTCTTGAAATGGTTTGTTTTGATTCCATAGGATGATAGTTCCCAGTGAGTGGGTATGGTGCTGCAATTTCCAGAACTGATCCATAGCTGGTTGTCTTCTTCAGAACTAGTCATCCTTAGGAGTGCTAAGTGTTAGGATGGGGGAGTAGTCAAAGGCCCCAGACTCAAGTTCTGCTTTCCCAGCATTGGTAGGGACATGATGGTAACTTCATTTCCTGTGTCTGAATTCATTACTATTATAGTTTTGTAATTAACCCACTTCTGAGATGGTTGGTGAATATTTTGAGGTGAATGCCCTGTGAGTGGTCCTTCTCCGTCTAGACAGGTTAAGACTGTAGATAGCACAAACTAAGATTATTAGGGGTTTCCGGGGCAGCGGGACAGCAGAACTGTTGGGCAAGAAACTAGGAAGGCTAAGACAGCTATTTGCCCTTTTATTCTGGAGAGCTAAAAGTGGCTTGACGTTTACAGTGCCACCCTCTGCCCCCAAGCCAAGGACGTCATGGCATTGGTGTAGTCTTCTCCCACTTTATCCATATAGCTTGCTGCCTACCTATCAGCCAATTGAATGTTTTTTCTTAAAGGTGCTGTGGTATTTGACTTTGGCCACAGCAAACAGGTCACTGAATGGGAAAGATGCCACTCCTGCCCCCCAGGCCACTGTTGAGTTCTACATTGCTGTCCTACTGGGGCACACAGAAAATAGCAGAAATGGCCCTGTGCCAGCTCTGGGAGAATTTTCTTTGGTCTCTTCTACTTGTTTGTTGCAGGATTTTTCTAGATTAAAGGGCATTCCTCCTGTTTTCAGCAAATGTTTTCATTTTCTTCCTCAATTGCTAGTGGCCACATCAGGCCAGTGTGCCTATCCCTGGTAACTTTGGAGCTGACCCTACCAAGGCCATCTTGGGGGACCTACAGAGATAGGGAAAGGTGATTCCTTAATCCCTGTTTCCACTTGGGGCTGAGGGACCTGGTTAGGGATCCAGTGGCAGCTGTAAATGACAGGGAGGCTCAGGGGTCACTCCTAGACAGGTTAAGATGTAGGTACCACAAACCAGAGTTGTTGAGAATTACCTGGGCTGAGGAGAGCATGTTGGTTAAGAAGCAGGGAAGGCTGGAAAGCCCTGTGTGGTTCCCATGAGCAGTGACTATTGAAGCTTCATGGCAACCAGCACATGTGTGGGGAAAGGATGCCCTGGCCTGGGGACTATGGTGGTGGAAGGCATGAGGTACCCAATCAGTGTCCTCACTTCTTGGTACCAGTAAGTACTTTTCAGGATTGAAAACATTGCTTCCATGAAGAATATCTTGCAATAAATCCGAGCTGGGTTGAGGCTATGTGGCTAAGTCCATAGGCTGATAGTTAGAAGCACAAGGTTTCAGAATCTAGTTGGGCAACATTGATATCCTTGATTCTTTTATCTCTGTTCCACCTGCAGGTGATCACCAACAGAGACATGAGAGACCTGCAGTACATTACATACACCATGGACGCACTTGGGGGGACTGGCTCTGACCATCTCTCAAGAGGCTTCCTCAGCCACTTCCACACTGCAGTTCAGGCCAGGCTTTCAACCTTCCTTGGAGAGTGACCAGCTGTGACAGACATTCTGGCCTCTCAGGCTTTCCTGCCACACCTGGTGTCTGCTCACTGCTTCTTTCACCCCCACAGGGAGCATCACAGAGTTGGGGCCAGTCCTCATGTCCTGTTCTCTTTTCTGTTCTCTTCCCTCTGTCCATGCTGATGCAGTCTGTACTCAGACCCTCCTAGTTCTCGCCTGGATCACTGCAGTGGCTTCTTAACCGGCTCCCTGAGATTCTCAAAGCATCTCTCACCATGTTATCTCCAGGCTTAACATGCTTCCTGGAACCCGTGGTGCCTTCATGATGAGATCTGAGCTCTGCAGTAGATCTGCAGGACTCCTGAGACTCAGTTACTGTGTTCCCTGGTCCTGTCCACTGTGCTCCCTGCTCTGCCTCTGGGCTGTGACTAGATTGCTCCTCCAGGGCCGTGTCAGGTGCCTGCTGTTTTTTAGGTACCACCTTGGACCCTGCAGACTTCTGTCTATCAGGGGTGTCCTTCACTGCCATGTTTGTTTGTGCCCCCCTCCCAAGCTGGTATCTGCATAGCCTTGTGGATTTTGTACACTGTTTAGTGGGCTGCAGGAAGGAAGGGAAGAAAGATCGGGCAGATGCGCTGTGCATGGGCTGGAGTGTTCAGCATGGTTGGCCACTCTTCTGGACTGGTCTTTCTAGGTCTCCTCTTTTTTTTTTTATTTTTTTACCCTGTGCCTGAGTTCACTGCTTCTGCTTAAGGTACAAGTGGCCGCCGGGCTTGCAGAAGGAGAACCTGAGTGATCTACACTTTTGCCTCACAGGCTGCTGCCACCAAGTGTTGGCGTTCCCATCCTATTATGCCTTTTCCTTTTCTCTTTACTTCATGGCCTGGCTGCACCCTTCACTTGGAAAATTGCCAAGGCCAGGCTTGTAATGTGCTGTGGCCCATAGTGGAGTAGGACTGTGCAAAAATTCAAAGCTAGGCTGGGAATAGGCCAGTGATGGGAGGCTTGCCCGGAGTGCTTGTCAAGGTCTTGGGTTCCGTCCCTGGTATAACAAGTTAATAATAGCAACAACAGCCAAAAAGCATCGCTGACCATTTCCAGCCCTGCTTCAACTCCTTGACCTAAGGATAGAACCCATTTTGTTAGGCCTGCACCCTGGGCTGGCTGCTTACTCTTGTGTCCTGCCGCCGCCGCCAGCCAGAATTTGTCCTTCTCTGACCTTTCCAGACTCACATAGCTACACCCCAGGCACTGACCGCTGCTAGTGTCAGGCTTGGGCTAGCATTTCCCTGTCTTCAACCAGGACTTGTACTTGAACTTCATGGCTGCTTTCAAGCCTCACCTTCCTGACTAGCCCTAGGGGCACCGGGAGCTCCTTCTCTGCGGTACTGAGGGCACACTTCATCAAGACTGGTCCATTCATCCAGCCCTGTGTGGCAAGTGGTATTCTATGGGTTTGAGGCAACAGTGAGCTAGCCAGGAAATGTCCTGCTCCCAGAGTCTCTGCACCGTTGTGAAGATGAATCAGCTGACTCTTCCTCCCTGGATGAGGAGTGCCTCAAGGATAAGAGTCCTTCAGTGCCTACCCTGGCTGCCCTCCAGTACAGTTGACCTGAGACCCTCCAGAACACACCTGCCTTAAATAAGGGCCTGTGGCGAGGCCTAGGCCCATTGAATGATGGTGTGAGCCCTTCTGCACTGAAGGCTGCTCCCACACGCCCCAGCCCATGCTTGGCCCTAGCAGTTAGGGCTCTTACTGGCATGGCTAAATCCTCACAGAAGGTATTACAGATTCCAAGTGCTTCCTTCTCTCACCCTGGGTTGGGTATGAGTCAGGATGGACCTCTCTGCACCCCTGAGACCCCAGTGACAGGGCAACAGTGTGGCCAACTCCAACATCTGGACACTGGAGAAGTTTTCTGCTTCCTGGATCACCAGCGTGCCCTGGACAGGGTAGGTCCCCAATCCTGGAAGCGCTGCCTTCTGCCCTCTCCTCTGGCTTCTTACCTGCTCCTCTTCAGGGTTTAATTTAGCTTCCTTGGTCCTTTCCAGCCTCCCCTTGCCTGCTCTGCTTTCTTTCTACCCCAAGCTTCCTTTCTGTCTCTCAGCTTTCAGGCTCCCCCCGTTTCCCATACTTCCCCCCCCCCATTCCGATGTCCTCTCCTCCCAGCCCTGCTCCCCTTTTCCTGCCCTCCATTCCCTAGCTTTGAGGTGTCCACAGAAAGCTAAGGAGCCTCTGATTCTGATCCGTATTTTCTGGTACGCTATCAGGGTACAGTAGGCTGGCCCTGCTCTGTCCCTTTTAGTGGCTGGTATCCTGCGTAACCAGTCACCTGTAAAGATCAGAGTAGCATGTGGAGGAGGCAGGCATGCCCAAAGGATGCTCTGCTAGCTTAGTCTTTAAACTGATGTCTTATTAATCAAATACACATTTCCTCCGAAAGCCCTGTGTGAGAGCAAACCTTTACTGTCTCCCTTTTTCCGGTAGGGGAAGATGAAGTCATTTGTCTCAGGTCATAGTTGGGATGGGCACTAGGGCTGTCTCCCTACCCTACCCTTTGGGCATCACTCTCAGACCAACTACTCTTCCATCCACAGCACAACAAGCACCTGTCATGCACACTGGCCAGTCGAGCCCAAGTTACAGTGACCCTTATGTCGAAGCCGTGGACACCTACCAGATCTGACAAATTCCCAGAGAAGAAGGGTGGCCTCTAGGGGCTATTTGAACAGATTCCCAAATGCTTTGGTCTTCATGGAGTGCTGGGTAAGCCCTGGGTCTCTTCTTCCTGCCTTCACTCAGTGCATTGGGATGGTGGAAAGGGAGGGCATGGTGCCCTAGCTGTGGAGGAGGTAACCAGAGGGAGAGAATAGGAACACACACAAGAGACCACTGCTGGTGGGAACCAAGTGCTGGCCTAGGGCCAAGGCTGGAGAGCTGGGTGATGGAAGGAGGCCCCTTGTTTTTGGTCAATTCCTTCCTCTCTCCTTATGCTCCCCTTTCCTTTCTCTCTACACTGGGGTAGAACCTAGCACCTTCTCCATTCTAGGCTAGGCTCCTACATGGAGGCACACCCCTAGTCCAGAGGCTCTGGTGGTGCCTGTGGCATCCAGGCCTGAGCAGAACCTGGGACAAGAGAGTGTTGGGATCAGGAGGGGAGCTGGCACAGAGTGTGTCATCTGAGTTGTGAGTTCCTTGCCTGGTGCTAGTCCTCAGTTGGCCCTCCAGTGTCTGTCTTGAAGTGTCAACCCTGATGGACCCTAGCGAACAAAACTGAAGGAGAGAACAGCGTCTATCTGTCCCTGCTGCTGGCCAGGCCACATGAAAGGAGATAGCCATGTTCCTCTCAAGCAGTCCCATCCGCAAACGTGGCCTGTTCTGCTCTCCTCCCCTCACTTCTGGGGAGGTAGTGGGTGGCTAGAGCTGGCCCACAGGATGCCCTCCTCCGAGACCAGGAGGCACAGAACTGCCCTCATCTTCATTCTAGAACACACAGGGGGGTGCAGAGGGGAGTCCAGGCCAATAGACAATAAGGGCAGGAAGTCTTTCAGGCACGTGACTGAACTTAACCATGGAGCATTGGCCATGTCTGACACAGGCCTAGGAGGCCCATTCAGAGCCCTCTTCCCATTCCCTTTCACTTCTGCCATCCCAGGAGCTGATTTCTATCGGAAGCACTTACTTAGTTTTCAGCGCCACCCCTCGCTCTATCCATTTTTTTTTTTGTTCTTATTTGCTTTTTTTTTTTTTTTGTTTCCAGTGCTGGGAATGGGCCCGTACCCTCCTACATGCTCCTGACAAACTCTCTACCACCACTCAGCTGCATCCTCTGTGCCTGCTTCTCACAAGTTCTCATTCTCATGGCTCCCAGGCCACTCGTTATAAAACCTTACTGCTCCAGCACAGCATGCTCACACAACCCTTAGGGAGGAGCATTCCCGGTGGCTTCAGGCTGGCACGGAGTGCCTAGCCCCGGTCTCACCTACAACATGGCCCAGTGGCCGGCTCTCTCCAAAAGAGGCGAGAGCTGGGATTGTGGATGCTTTAGTTCACCCTGTGCTTATAAACAGTTGTGCCTGGCTTTAGGAGTGGGTAGGATCTGTTAGGCAGAGAGGAGATAGGCCATTTCCTCACGTGGAAAGACAAAGGAACAGAGGAGTGGGGAAAGGTGTGTGAGAGGAAATAATTGAAAGCATAACTATAAGGTGAGCTGGATCTTCAAAGGTCATAAATCTGCAGTTTGATCAATATGGGGATGGGAGATTAGGAGCCTTGTCTTGGAGTGTGTGTGTGTGTGTGTGTGTGTGTGTGTGTGTGTGTGTGTGTGTGTGTGTTGTATGCATGCTGGGCCTTGCACATGCTAACACACACTGCTCTTGAGCTGTACACAGCCTATCGATCTTTCTAACATGGTTGTTATTATCAGCAGCAGACTTTTTATAATGAAAATCATCAACGTTCCCTAGCCACAAACCACAAGCTCCCAGAGCAGTGAGTTTTAGCTGCTTGTTCTGAGTTCTACCTTCTGAGTGCTAAAAGCCAGGCTTCTCGGAGCACCATCACCTTAGGGAGGCTGAGCTGAAATCAGGAGAGAGAAATCAGAGGCCAGGGCACCTTAGCAGCCATCCTCTGTCTGTCCCCATGTGGGAGGGGCTCAAAGGCAGAAAACTGTAGTGAGGAACATTTGCTAAGAGTGAGAGTCTGGGTCAGTCATGGGAAGTCCCCTGCCCCCTGGCCCGCTGCCTCCTCCTACCACGGTCTGCTGTGGGATTAGCCACACACACTTAGGAAGGAAACCTGTCCAGGCAAGAAACCGTGGCCTGTCTCACGGTCAGCCTTCCTCCTCCTGCCTGTTTGCTCAGTCTGCCTCCCAGGGGCTGGAGAGCCCATGAGAACCTGCCTAGAGCAGAGGCCACTTTGGTTTCCTGCTATCCAAGCTGCTGCCTGTACCCCCACTGAGAGTTAGTGTTCACACTGAGGGGCTGTGGTGGTGGTCCTCAGCATGTCTGGGCTTATCCCCAGTGCAGATGGCACCAAGGTGCAGCGGAGGAGGAGGTGGAGCCCCTAAGGCCCAGCTCTGAGGAGTACTCTGAGAAGCATGTGAGACCAGCAGAGATCACTGTCCTTGGTAGGGGAGGGACTAATATCCATCTGTATACTGGACAAAGCCAGGACAGCATGTTAGGCCTTCTTCCCATCTAACCTGCTTCTCTCTTCTGGGTCTGACATTTCTCCCAGACACATACCATTACATACCAATGAATCTGAGCTTCCCCCCTCCCATCCCCTCAGCTAGCTATGGCTCTCTCAGCTCATTTGTCAGTCACCTGATATCCCACACCTGTTCCAGGCCCAGTTTGTGAGCTGTCCATCTGCACAAATAGGGTGCAAGGCATTTAGAAGGATGGTCAGTGAAAGGGCTTGGCTGTCTTGGACTGTACCTGCAGGGAGAGGCAGTGTTGGGCTCCAGGGACTAGTGGATATGCTGTGGGGTAGTCTCCTGTGGAAGTGAACACCATTTCCTGAGGTTCTACATCCCAGATCCAGAGCAGTTTCTGGGACAAGTTTGGGATCCCCCACCTTCATTCAGCTCACTATCTACTTTGATCTCAGTTAGAAATTCCTTCATAGTAGAAAAAAAAACTTTCACCTCTTTCAGCTCCATGGCCCTCAACAGTGCTGGGCTGGGGCTGTCTGTCTGTCTTAAAGGGGGTCCCAGGATGGAAGGTAAAAGGCCTGGAGTGTCTTTGAGATGGGGTCCAGAACTCAGGGGTAAGTAGGGTTAGGTTCCTCTGCATCCGTCTTCTCACTTAGCACCACCCAGAGGTAAGAAGTGGAACAGCTGCACACAACCTTTATTCAAGGCCAGGAGTGCCAGGCACTGAGGTTTGTAGAGAGCATGGTTCTTGTCCCAAGAACCTTCCTCTGGGCAGATAGATCATGAAAGCATGCCAGTTGTGTGAGTAGCTCCTGGGATACCAAGACAGGAATACTGCCTTTGTGTGTGGGTGTAACAACCTTTTATTTTTTTTTTCTGTATAGGGTCTCCCTAGCATGGTGCACAGAAAAGTCTTTTAGATGCCACAGCCACTGAAATGTCTTCTTTCACAGATCTATAACTAGTTCCACAGATCCTTGCTGTCATTATATTGCTTAGCATGAAATTAAGGTTAAATTATTAAAAAAAATACCACAAGCCACTCTCATACCCACAATCCTAGTATTTGTGAGGCTGAAATATCAAAAGCAGTCTCAGCCCAGCCTGAACTACCTATCAGAATTCTACCTGAAAAAATAGAAGAAAAGAAGATCCCACAATGGCATAGGAGGATGTGTGGCAGATAATTAAAGATGGCATTGACCAGAAAGAAGCCCGTGGCCCTGGTGACTATAGTCTGCAAATCAGCACCATTTCAGGCTCTGACCTCATTCTTTGAAGCTCGTATATTCCCAGACAGCTATCTTTTTTTTGTTCTTAAAGCTTTTTGCAACAAGGTTTTGCTGGCCAGTAATCCACTACACAGCCTAAGTCAGCCTCAAACTCATGGCAATTCTCTCTGTTTTAGCCTCCTGAGTGCTAGGATTATAGATTTAAGTAGCCATGTCCTGCCTTCCTCTTAGTGGTTTTTTGTTTGTTTGTTTTGAGACAGGGTTTCTCCATGTAGTTTTGGTGCCTGTCCTGGATCTTGCTCTAGAGACCAGGCTGGCCTCGAACTCACAGAGACCCGCCTGGCTCTGCCTCCCAAGTGCTGGAATTAAAGGCATGTGCCACCACCAACCCGGCCCTCCTAGCATTTTTAAAAAGGCATGGTCCACATTTCTGCTCCATGTTTCTAGTCACAGCAGAATCTGAACACACAAACCATCCTTCAGCTCCTTTCAGGCCAGTCTGACAAACTTGGTCTCCTAGGATTGGTCTAAGACTTAAAGTGGGAGAGAAAGCCCTGGCTCTGGTCCTCCATTTTTCCGGGAAGAACTCAGGCCATGGCTGACCCACATCTGCCAGACTCACAGGTGTCTTGTCTGCCTTGCTCTACACTGTTCAGCTGCCCTCCCTATAGGGTCATGATAGAGGCAGAGTCAGGAGACTGAAACCATCCTGGGTAGGGAGTGGAGGGTGTTTAGTGAGGGGACTGTTCATTTTAGAGCTGACTATTGGCCTGAATGCTGTTGTAATTGCTTTTTCCTTCCACCTATTGGCTACACTTAATTAGTGCATGGTACATTGAGCTATTTGCTATTCCATTTCCTCATGGAAATACTTCTGAAAGAAATACTTCCTCTGTTCCATAGCTACTTTCCTTACTCGGCCTGTTTGCGTTCATCTGCAGTAGTAAATGCAGGTCCTTCTCAGCATTTTTGTTGCTACATAATCTCTGCATTGTGCCATTGGGCAGTTACCACCTTCACCCACCCCGGAAGTCTGCAGGAAGATCTTTCTCCAGGGAAACTGCTCCATAGGAGAGAAAAATGATGTCTGAGTATCCCCTGGAGGCCACTGAGGATAGAACTGCCTGTACCTTGTACTCTTGATCCTGCCCAACCTGGTTCTGGTGCTGTCTTTATCAGTACAGAAGATTTTGGGCATCAGAACCTGAATCATGGCCTCTGTGATTTGTACACCCTGTGCCACACGGCAGTGATCTGAAACCAGCTGTGAAGGTGGGTGGACAAGGCCTCACCCTATCTTTTCTATGTTATTTGCAGGAAGATGGGTAGAATGACCATACTGTGATAGCCAAATAAGGCAGACTCCTGTGTGGAACCTATGTTTTATATATACAAATACATATATACCTATATTTACACATATAAAAGACAGAAGTAGAAGGGGGGCTATTTGGTGGGAGGGGCAACAAGAGACAGTAATGGGGATAAACATGAACCAATATAAATCTGCCGTAACAAAACCCTTAAATGCCAGTGTTGCCAAGGATGGTGGAGCACCCTTGGAATGCTAGCTCTGAGGAGGCAAAAGTGAGAGGATTGCCACAAGTTTGAGACTAGCCTGGTCTGCAGTAGCAAGTAAACAGGCCAGACACTCAGAACAAAAGGAAACAAATCCAGCCTTTTGTAATATAGCTATGTGCTTCTTCCAATTTTGGCAGATGCTGATTTAATGTAGATCCAAGTTATGGGGTGAAGAGTCCTAAATGTTAGAAGACCCACAGCTTCAGAAATACCATCCCCACTGCTGAGTCTCAAGGCAGGGAGCTGGCCTATCTAGCACTTTCCTCCACCTGCTGGGTTGAGGCAGCATTAGACTGGGAGCCCTCAAACCTGGGCCCGATAACACTGGTCACTAGTCAGTCGCATGGCCTTGAACAAGGCCCACCTACATCACTGAGGCTCTTTGATAAACTGAAGCTGTAGCATGAATCTTAAAAGTTCTTATTAATAAAAACAAACCCAGAGCCAGGTATTGGGGTGAATGCTGGAAGATCAGAGAAGCAAAACAAGCCACAGCTACCTCACCTGGCCAATTCCTCAGCTGATCCTGTATCCTCAGACTGGATGCCTCTCTGCTGAACTGTGCTGCTCAAAAGCCTAAAAGCTTAACCAGACTCTAGTTCCTTGTCCTCACGCCTTATATACCTTTCTGCTTCTTGCCATCACTTCCTGGGATTAAAGGTGTGAGTCACCATACCTGGCTGTTTCTAGTGTGACCTTGAACTCACAGAGATCTGGATGGATTTCTGCCTCTGAAATGCTAGGACTAAAGGCATGTGCTACCACGGCCTATCCTCTATGTTTAATATTGTGGCTGTTCTGTTCTCTGAACCCAGATAAGTTTATTAGAGTGCACAATATTTCGGGGAACACAATACCACCACATGAAGCTGCTGATAGGGAAGCAGGAAGGGTAAGTTTCTGATGAGCTCAATAGAACCAGGAAAGGAAGGAAGAGCATCTTGTCTGGAGCTTAGTAATGAGCCGTGGAGAGGACTATGGAGAAGATTGGCGAGAGGCAGGGCTGGTGAAAGCTCCATCAGCCAGGCCAGGAGCTCAGACTATGCTCTGGTAGCGAAGTGGCTCTGTGGCTGGTTTGGACTAGAGTGGTGCAGTCAGATCTGTGTTTTGGAGCGGATGCTCAGAGCAGTTAGGATGAAGCAGAGGACGGGAAGATGGTGCAGAGGAAACTGAGTGAGTGGCTGAGTCCGAGATTTGAAAAGAGCGATGGTGACTTAAGCCAGCAGTGAGGAGATGTGGGGAAAGGCCTGCCTAAGAACTGTCTCTGGAACAGCACCAGCAGGGACCGGCGACAGGCTGTCTAGAGGGGGCACATGGAGGACTTCCCAGCATGCTCTCTGTCGATCCTCTCTTCTGGCTTTCTGTCCTCATGGTTCCTCATTTCAAAACTGACCCTGCAAAGGTTCTGATAAACTCATTAAGATGAAAACTACTAATACAGGTTTCCATGCTTGCAGATTAACAAGAACAAAGTCCTAGGTTATAAAATTCTATGTCTTAGAGACAAAATTGAAGATCACATTGCTAGAGGTGTTAGCATCTATTATGGTTTGAATCTTGAATTTTTCCCTGCAGGCTCATGTCTTGAATGCTTGGTCCCCAACTTGTGGCAGTACTTTAAAGAGTACGGACACTAAGCAGTGGGGCCTGGTTGGCACAAATTGAGCACTAGTGGTCAGTCTTTGAAGGTTATATCCACCCTGGCTCTAGCTTACACTCTGCTTCCTGGTCAGCCGGGATGTGAACATGTTCTCCTGTGCCCCATGTCTTCCCACACTGAGAACTCTGAAGCCATGAGCCAACATAAGCTTTTCCTGTCTTTAGTTCTGTTAAATCACAATGATGCAAAATAGCCAATGCAAAAATGTGGTACCAGTGAAATGGGGTGGGTTCAGTGATTAGCCTGACTAGGGGGTTCATAGGCCTTTGGAACCCACTTGTGGAAGTAACGTATAAGAGTTTGGAGGTACAAGCTAGAAAAATCCCAGTGTGCACTGAGTGGACTTTAATGGGTCTGGTAAGAGTATGAAGGTCCAGAATGCCTATAGAAGTGGAGGCAGTAGACTGCTCATAGGTCTCAGATGGGGACAGGACTGTACTGGGAATTGTGCGAGGCGTTTGTGTTACCTTCTGGTACAGGATATTTATAATCTGCTGTATTTGAGTGAGTCTGAATTTTAGAAGTCAGTGGACAGATTCACTTGAGAGGAAATGTCAAGACAGTGTAACATTCCGGCTACGGCATCATTGTTGATGCCTGTTAGCCAGGTTTACAGCGAGAGCTAAAAGCAAGGAGTGAGACAAGAAGATCTGAAGCGTGTATTGGGCAAGGAAAGGTGTGGGAATACAGCTGAAGTTGCAGACAAACCAAATGTAGACAACAGGATTGCTTTTTTGTTTTTGTTTTTGTTTTTTGAGACAGGGTTTCCTCTGTGTAGCTTTTGAAGACTATCTTGGAACTCACTCTGTAGACCAGTCTGGCCTCAAACTCTCAGAGATCCACCTGGCTCTGCTAATTGTTTTTTGTTTTTGCATGAGTGTTCTATCTCATGTATGCTGGTGGTGCTATTTTGAGAGCTAAGGAGACTTTAAGAGGTAGGGCATGGATGGTGACACTGGGGCCCTGGTCCCTGGCCTTGGAAACTTATACCTACCCCAGGTTCTCTATTACTACTCTTCGTCCTGTGACCAGATGCCAACTGACGCTTCTGCTACCATGGGTGGAATGTGGTGGGATATTCCGTCATGCCTGTCCCACTAAAAGGGACTGAAATGATGTGTCCAAATAAATATTTCCTTACATTGTCTGTCAGGTATTTGTCTATATAATGTAAAAATAAAACAGTACATCTAAGCAGGTGCCAGAATCCCACGTGGGCCTCAGCAATTTTGTCTCCTATTGTTTAGGAAACAACCAGATTTTACTCTAGGCCTGGATGTGCAGGAGTGGACACCTTCCAAACCTTCCTTACAGGCATCCTACACCTTCTGGAGCATGACCAAAGCATGGGCCAGTCCAGAGATTTGTCCATAATTCAGCTGTGTCTTTCACAGCTGGGCCTAGGGAGAGGAGAGGTTTTCCCCAGTCACACAGCTCTCTAGAGGCATAGGCAGGTGAGAATGGGTGTGTAAGGTCTGTTCCTTTCTCACCATTTACTCCCACAAATTCTGAAAACTGGTCATGGATCTGGGAATATAGCTCAGTGTTGGAACACTTGTCCAGCATGTGTGAGACCAGGGGTCAGCCTTCAGCACTGAAAAACAGTAACAACAAAAACTGTTTGCATCATTTTTTTAAAAATTATTTTAGAGACAGGTTATGTAGCCCAGAATGGTCTCAAACTTGCTAAGTAGCCTGAGGATAACCTTGAACTTCTGATCCTCCTGCCTCTACTTCCCTAATGCTAGGATTATAGCACTGTACAATTACATGCAGTTTTGTGTGGTACTTAGGGATCTATTACAGAGCTTCATCTTCATGCATGCAAGACAAGCCCTCTGCCAGCGAAGCCCTGCTCATGTCCCTGGCTTTGATGTAATGTGTTTGTTCTATTTCTTCTGTTGCTTGGAATGGAACCTGGGCTTTTGCTTCCTTGCTATTTATTCTCATTCTCTCTCTCTCTCTCTCTCTCTCTCTCTCTCTCTCTCTCTCTCTCTCTCTCTCTCTCTCGTGTGTGTGTGTGTGTGTGTGTGTGTGTGTGTGTGTGTGTGTGTGTGTGTGTGTGTGTGTGTGAAGGCTCAGGTACATGGAAGTTCCATCACTCAGGCCCCTGGGTGCCCTCCTCCACCACAGCTTCATGTTCAGCGCCTGCCCCATCTCATCTGTTGCCACTGTTTCCAAGTGTCTTAAGCTTCTCTCTTCTGGAATAGTATCTGCCTGTCCTGTCACTGCTGAATTGGAAGAGCCTGGTTTATTGCCCATCAGCTTCAAAGGATGGCTCTGCTCCTGGATCCCCAGCCTCCTGCCTTTTCCTCCTACTTGACAATGATTGGATTGTGGCACCTCCCGTGGAGTTGTTGGACTTAGTCTGGAGGTAAAGGGGTTCAATGTCTATTCTGTTCTTGGGATGCTGCAGACAAAGCTGTTGTATGGTAGTCTCTTTGGAGCCGGCCTCAGGCCAACTAATCTCCTCCCCAGGAGATTCTGTACTCCCTGGGGAAAGAGCAAGAGGGGAGCAGAATCCAACAAGCTTGGAGAGAACCCACCAGGGTTTCCTGGTTCATTTGAGAACCAGCAGGAAGTTGGGTAGGCAGTCCTAGCTTCAGTGCTAGCGTTCAGCGCTCACTGAGAGTGGCCACTACTCAAATCATAGCCATTGGTCCCTTCCCGAAAGCCTGTCTTCACCTTCATTCACAGGCTGAAGCCCCTGCTCCAGTAGGACACACAAGGTACAGTCTGGTGGAGAGCTTCACCCATGGCATCCCTGTCCCTGGCTTCGACCATCACATCTTTGTCTCCCCTGTAGGTAATCATCAACAGAGGCGTGCAGGAAAGGTCTCTGTGCATTGTACACATCTGGAGCTCAACACCCTGTTTATGAGCTGATGACAGAAAGAGAGAATCAGAGAAGAAACGAGTGTGGTTATCAGGGACTTGGACTCCCTGCAGGGACAACTCCTGGAAGTATCCAAAATACTGAGCACAGTACTCATGACTTCCCACCAGGAGAAAACGGTCTGGTCCTGCAATTCCAGACCCCCAATAAACCCAAGGTATCTTGCAGTTTTCAGAGGAACTGAAATGACTGTATGAGCTGGAAGAGCTGAGGAGAAGGACATACCTGAGAACCCCAGTGGACTCACCCAGGATCATCACCAGATATTGGCAATCAACGCCCGAGGGTCCCGATGCTGCTACCCTAACCTGCATCCGGTGCTGCTGGTTTACATGGGGACTTAAAGACAAATGGCATGTAGGCCAGCAGCCCATGACTGCTGTGCATGATTGTGTGGGTACTGTCTAGCCGGGCCTGCACCCATGGCCCTGAGATAGCTACCGAGAAAGTCCACATCATTTCCACCAGGGCTGGAGTTTAGGTGTGGAGGCGACAGTTTTTGAAAGGTAGCTTGCTTCTGCCTGCAGTGATTTCCTCTGTGATCATGGCTGGGATACTGGTTCCAGATCATTGTAGGGAGGGCAGAAGGTGGCCATGCCAAAGCTGGGCAGGGATATTAAGGTAGATGCTGGGCATCAGCAGCCATGTGTGTGACAAAGGGCTTGCAAGTTAAATACTATGGCAGTCAAGTGATTTCCAAGTCCTGCCCAATTCTCGGACTGTGTATCCTGACTCAGTCATAGCTGAAGGACCTGTTATAGGTGACTTTCTGGGAGCCAGTGCCAGGCCAGCTCATGTCCTCTCCAGGGTTTGCTGTGCTCCCTGATGTGGGTCAGGAAGAAAGTGAACCTGGTGGTATTTGGAGGCATTTGGGTTCAGCAGTTCTGTCCAGAGTGCTAGTATTTCTAGCTGCCTGAGCTTGGCAAGCTCCTTCACCCATCACGATGATGCACATGCCTTCACCCCTTTTCTCTGCATAGTACCTGACTTCTAAGAGCTATTTTCTTTTCAACAGGAGAGGGTATCTGTAAAATGCTTGGTGCAAACTGCACCACAGTGGTCTGATCTCCTTCTCTTACTCCCCTCCCTTTGGAGGGCTTGGGTCTGGGTCTCTCTTGCTCTCTCATGGCTGTCTGGTATCTTCTTCCCCAGTAAGAGCTGTAATTCAAGTAATCTGGAGCAGAAGATCCAACCTGGGAGTGTTTGTGTGTGCCTAGCTCTCACAGAGGTGTTCTGGGGATGCAGAAATGAGCAGGGCAGCATAGAAATGATGTTGCAGAGTGGAGGTGAGGAGCAAGGGCTCTGGATTCAGACCACACTATAACTCAGTGTGCAGCCTTAGAGCTAGTTGCACTTAATTGCACTGTACCTCAGTTTTCCTGTCTGTAAAATAGGTATAAAATTAATCAACCTCATGAATGAACAATGCATTCTAGTGCTGAGCACATCCGTCAGTTCCAATAAATATGTATTGGTACTAACTGACTCCAACTGAGGAGCCAGGGTAGGGAGCTATGCAGTAGGGTTAAGTGGTCCCCACAACAATTGGCTTTCTTTCCCACAGATGGGAGAGATCAGAGGGTAGAAGACTTGGAATAGGTGTCCCTTGAGGGATGGGAAATAATTATTGATGTTGTTTCTGTAGTTTTGGTCACTGGGGGTGGTTCCCAGCGCTTGGCACAGGCTGAGCAAGTGTTCCTCCCATGAGCAACAGTCCCAGTAGTTTTTAGATGAGCAGATGGGAGTAGTCTGACTTATCCTAGTTGGGGAAGACAAGCAAGCCTCTCCAATCCCTCTAATCCATGTTCTTGACCACCCCAACTCTTAAACCCCCACCCTCTGCATCAGAAAACAATTTAATGAACTCCAGCTGAGCCACATGCTGGCTGCATGACAGTAGTATCCATGGAGATCTGTTCTCAAGGAGAGAAGAGAAAACCAAGGTCTCTGCACTAAGTCTCCGAGCCAGTGGCATGGGCCTGCCTGCAGAGCAGACAAAGGAGTCTGTGTTTGCAGTCCCCAAAGAGCCCCAGTCTTCTTCTCCCTATCCCTCCTATACTGATTGGTGGGGGTCCAGGAAACATGTAGCCTGCCAGCCCTGGGCACCTCATACAGGCTGCTGGAGGGTAGCATGGAGGCAGCTTCTTCTTGACTGTGGGGAAATGGCAGACACAACCCTTTCCTATCAGCACAAGAGGTAGGTTGATAATGATGTTGGGTCCTAGTGTTGGCCACAAGCATCCCCTCTGTCACCTGACCTCACTGGCCTTGAAGAGCTTTGCTTACTATCCAAAGCTTTAGCTGCCTCTCTGCTGGTGTAGTGCTACCTGGGCCAATGGGATGAGGAGCTGTTTTTGCTTTTCCATCTGTTTTTCCCCACACACTTGACTCTAGCCTTCCTGACTCAATGACTGCCCATAACCTCCTGCATTTGGCATTAGCACTCATGGTCCCATGAATAGTAATGTCTTTTCTGTTTCCTATTGGCCACCTATGGCTAATTTTTCAAGATACCACTAGTGGTTACCTCCTCTTGTGCCATGGTTTGGTCTTGCCTGCCTTTGAACCCATGCCATGAGAGCTCGCATTACATAGACCTGACTATCTCCATGGTTCTGACAGTGTCACTGATGGGGGTCTCACTTTCTTGCCTGTGCTGATCTCAAAAGTCTGGACTCTTGTGAACCTGTCTCAGCTTTTCAGAAGCTAGGACTCCAGCAAACTTGGCAGTCCTTTTGAAAGATGAAGAAAATAAGGCCTGGAGAGCTCAGCTAAGTTGCTTTGGTTGTTAATGCAGTTTTTTACTTGCTTTGTGCATATTTAACTTCTGAGGTGTGCCGGACACTGAGAGCATGCCAATGAATAAAATGGACAATAATCCCTGGAGCTTCCACTGGACTGAGGGAGGAGGAGGAGGAGGAGGAGGAGGAGGAGGAGGAGGAGGAGGAGGAGACCTATCAGTTGTGGGAAGTGGGATGGAGATGGAAGACATCAAGGTTGCTCTAGGGGAGGCTGCTGAGGCCCAGCATTGGTGTCAGTTAATGAAGATCAGGCAGAACCATGTTGGAGGAGTGAGGGGACAGCACTTCATGTAGAGAACTATGGGTCCTAGGGGCAAGAAGTGGATGGAGATGTCCCCAAATCAAGAGGAGGCCCGAGCGAAAGAGGATGATAGCTCCCAAAGAAACTTTGCAATTTGGTTTTTGTTTACTTGCTTAACAATGGGGAGTGGCCTTCCTTCAGGGCTAGAGCCCAGGTGGTAGAGCTGACCAAGGGTTTTTTTTTAAGCCTATGGATTCTGCTGTAATTTTGCATTTTTGCTATGTAAGCCCATGTCACCTCACCAATTTTCAGTAAAGTCTGTTACAAACACAAAGGCCTTTGCACATATTTCTTTGTACATGAATGACAGAACTCTGCACTTGTCAATAGATCACAGACACCAGTAGCTGGCATGTATCGGAGCAGGTACACAAAGGAACATGTGCACACCAGGGAGGCACACACTGGACATGAATAAGGCTCACTGAACCGTGGGAACAACAACAGACCAGCACCAAAAGTCCTATCCTGACATGTTACAGAGTTACTGATCGGGGTACAGTATATGGCCAACATTCCCCAGACACTACAGAGTACCTGTCAGTTAAAGTTGCCTCTCTGATTGGAAAGCACTGGGGGCAAAGTTCAGCCAGCATCACTGTGCTACCCAAGAAAAAGTGCATTCAGAACTACCCAGGCTCTGCAAACCTTTGATTTCTCCGTTGAGCCTCCAGCAGGGGGCTCTTTGTTCAGCTTCTAAGTACTGTGCTTTTAGAAGCACAGCCCGTGTACTTAATGGACAGAAATGGATTCAGGAATCATTGTATTTGAAGAGAGGTCTGAGGAAAGGGTAATGGGTTCAGGCCTGCAGGCAGGGTGTGAAACACTTGCTTAGTATCTTAGGAGCTTGAATTTAGCCCTTGGCACTCGAGTAATGGCTTACTGATCAGCAAGCTGCTCAGGACCAGCTTATGAACAGAAATCAGAATGGCATGACTGATAAGCCCATGTGCCTCCTCACTAGGTCACCCCAGCAGCAACACTCCCTGGACACCAGGACACTTTGTCTGCTCTCCAGCACATTCCACCCTGTGTAGGGGCCTTCTTCCACGGGAAAGCATTAGTGCCTGTGGCTGGCATTTATGTTAATAGAAGGAGTTAGATGACATTAAGAGTGTGCTTCATGTCCTATGCCCAATATGGGGCTCCAGTTCTCCCATACAAGGATCAAAAAATCCATTTTCTGCACATTTATTAGCAGTAATCTCCTTAATTTATTATTTGACATTTTTTACATGTATACCATATATCTTGATCATAGTCAATGTAAATTCCCACTCCCAATTTCCCAAGAACAGTCCAATACTTCCCTTCTACCCCTCCCACCTTCATTTCTTCTCCTCCTTTTTTTTTTTTGCTCCAGAAGTCCCATTGCATCATGCTGAAGAGTCAATACCCCTCCATTTCCAAGACTACCAAACACAGAATTTGCATCAACTACTGTTCTGTGCTAAACTGAACTAGTTTGGGGTTCAGAGGGGGCTGATGCAGAACCCCATTTGTACCTGCTGCACTCTCTCCCTTTGCTCTCTGTCCTGAGCAGGGAGGCAGGAGACCTTGCCTGGATGACAGGACCTGCCTTTTGTGGGCACCTTCCTCCCTGGGCCAGACTCAGGAAGGACAGACACCCAGATTCTTATTTGAGTCAGGAGTTGGGTCATGACTGAGAGGAGAGGTGGGACTTTGAGAGGAGAGGTGGGACTGAGAAGAGAAGCTAAGGCCAACCCTGTGCTGGGACGCGGTGCATTTACAGACAGAGGAGGAGGAGAAGCAGGAGTGTGATTTGCTCTCAGTAGTAAAGGAAATGTTTTGGGGTCATGGGAGGCCTGCTGCTACTCACAGGGAGATGAGGATGGAGAAGTGACCACTTCTGACAGAGACTGCCACCTCCTTTTCAAATAACAGGAGTAGATTGTTGTGGAATATTATTTTAACTGGGCAAAGATGTTTTACATTTGTTTATGCTGCAGAATGTTTAACTGTATAAAGGTGTGTTACATTTGTTTATGCTGTATTTGTTTAACTATGTAAGGATGTGTGTTTAATTATGTAAAGATGTGCTGCGTTTTTTTCACCTTGCCTGCCTAAGGCATCTGATTGATTTAATAAAGAGCTGGATGACCAATAGCTAGGCAGAGAAATGATGGGCGGGGTGGCAGGCAGAGGGAATAAGTAGGAAGAGAAATCTAGGGTCAAGAGGAATGAAAGAAGAAGAGAACAAGGGAGAAAGAGAGGGACAGACGGGTCCAGAAGGAGCCAGGCAGCTGCCAGCCAGCCATGAGAAGCAGTGGAAGTAAGATACACAGAAGGAAAGAAAAGTAAAAAGGCCCAAGTAAAAGGTAGATAAAGGGCTTAGACTCGTTTCTTGCTGGCTCTTTTAACTTAGGAGGGCATGGTCTTTATTCTTTCTAAGGAGTTGACTGGAATGTTATATAATGGCTGGTTTTAACTTTATGTTCATTTATGTTTGTGCATACACACACCCACCCCATGGTATGTGTGGAAGCCAGAGGACACTTTGTGGGAGTGGGGGAGTGGGTTCTCTCCATCCATGTGGTTCTAGGGATCACACTCAAGTCATGAGGCTTGGTGTCGGTCCTTACTCTCTGGTCTCCTCAGTCCATGGCTGGATTTTTATGTAGCTATTTTGGACTAAGGCAAAGTTAGGAATGGAGGCTCCCCATGGCTAAAGCAAAAAGATAAAAAGATCTTGGATCCTTGATACCATGGAGTCTTATCACAGGTCTGGACAGATTTCATATGAGAGAGAAGTGAGTTATTTCAATCATTTATATCTTAGGTTATTTTTCTAAAACTAGAACCCCAACAATTCCAACCTGGTAACAAGTGTGAAGGCACAACAGTTATGCCATGAGAAGCTGTAATCAACAGTAAAGCATTGCTTGTTGAAGCGGGGTCTTGAGTAGCCCAGGTGAGCCTAGCCCTCATCATCCTCCAGAGTGCTGGTATCTGGCATGTGCTACCACGCTTGGCTCTTCTGACTTGGAGGCACTTTCCAGTTACAAAGCACTTCCAGATACACTTTCTTGCTTGATGTCCACAGCTGCATTCAAAGACTGCAGACATTCCTTTCATGGGTGAAGAAATGGAGACTCAGAGAAGTCAGTAACTAACACACGCCGTGAGCACTGACAGGATTCCACAGCCAGCGCACATGCAGGCAGGCAGGGCAGGTCGTGAAGGTTCAAGGTTTGCCTGCTGCTGGGTGTGAGAGTGGACAGCCCACCCCGGAGAGCCCAGATGCCTGGAACTAGAAGGAAACAGTTTTGGGGCTAGGGGCAGATCAGTGGCAGACTGACTAACATGTAAGACCCTGGGTTCCAACCCCAAGACTTGGAAAAATAACAAAGAAAATTTTTGTGTGTGTGTTTTGGTTTTGGTTCAGCAATCACCTTGTGGGTAAAGTAATTCTGCTGTTGTAAGGATGTTGTGAGGCACAAGAGACTGGAGAATAAGGAAAGTGAACAGCGGACGATGATTGGAGGGAAATGTGTTTGCCAGCTGGCGGGCTCGCAAGCCCATTTTAGAAGTAATCAGGAGTCATCAGATGCTTAGCCCGAGTCTGCTGAGTGTCTTGTGACCGTGTAAATGTTTTCTTGGTATCAAAGGGATCTGCTTCTTTTCGCAGTTCCCCCTCCTCAGAGGATAAGATGGGACCTTGGAAGTCTGGCGAGATCCTCTCTTTCCTCTTCAGTGACCGCTTTGCTGACTTCTTCCCAATTCCTTTCTTGAAATCCAGCCCGAATCCTGAGGACACTGGGGCTGGTACATGCCAATTCTTAGGTGAAGGTGCACAGAGACCGAGTCCTGGCTTCAAGTCGCTCACCCAGGTTTTCACTGTCCTAACGGTAGGCAGCGGTGAGATTTCATTAAGTGAGAATGTGGAAGCCAGGCCTTGCAGCCAGCCATGTGCCTCCCACTCCCACATGCTATCTCCCCAGGTTCTGTTCTAAGAAATGAAAGAGCTCCAGAAAACCCCATTCTGTTCAGCTCTCCACGGCCCTTCTGACCTTGACTCGCCCACCCCAGCTTGGCTCTGAAGGCACATTAAAGCAAGCCTCGAATGCCTGCTCCCGTCTGGCCTGGGCCCCCCCAGCTGTGATCTGCCCACTTGCTCTCTCTTCATCTCTCTGGTCTGGGATTCCTGGCTGTGCTCCCTGGCTTTGATATTTGCCTCTGCGCTCTCTGGTTTGGCAACTCACCACATTCCCCTTGTGGCTTTTGGGGCCTCTGGATTTTGTTGGTCAGCCTTCTGCGTCTCCTCCTCTGACTTTATGTCCTTCCTTGGCCTTGCATGAGGAACATTCCCTCTGGTTTGGGCTGGATCAGAGTTGGAAGTGGCATTGAGGTAACTTGGGGTCGGGAGCAAGGGAGACCCTCCAATCCTGCCTGTGGCCACAGTTGCTCCTCCTATGATGGAGGTACAGGCACAAGGCACCCATCACTGTTTGCAGGAGAGCTCTGCAGGGCATCAGCCTAACCTTCAAAACACCAGGCTACTCGAATCCCACAAACCATTTCTGAGCACACAGGAAGTTTCTGGTTCTTTTCCAGTTCCTAGGGATGTGACTGTGAAGAAAACCAAAGCCTGGTGCGCAAGGAGCCTGCATTCTAGTGGAGGGGTCAAACAGAAGAGAAAGTCAAGGCAGAGCTCTTGTTGATTTCTCTCGCTGGGAGTTGTCGGCATAGCCATCCCCAGTCTCGAGTCTCTATACTTGAGAGCATGGCTGCATGCACATGTGTGCAGGGCCGGACACGCCCCTATACACACACACACACACACACACACAC